GGCGGCGAAGACGGCCGAGGCGGAAAACCAGGAGGGGTCTCCAAGCGCGCGGAGCGGCGAGTGGCCGCCGTGTCGTCAGCAGCGGGGTCACCCCCCTCAGCTGGGCTAGAGGTGTCAGAGGAGACCTCCAAAGGCTCAACCAAGGGGTGCGGGTCGACATGAGACACACATGAAAGAGCAGGACCCTGTGGGGGGAGGGGGTCTACCGAGGGGGGACCTGGGACTATGAAGGGGGGCGGCAGGGAGAGTGGGGAGGACACGTGCGGATGGAGACCGTAGAAGCAGACCGACTCGTCAAAGGTGACGTCCTGTGAGGACAGGAGGCAGCGCGAGGCAGGGTGGTAAAATTGCCAGGGCGGGGCGTCGGTGGGGAAGCCAAGGAAGACGCAGCGGAGAGTGCGAGGAGAGAGCTTGCCCACGGTGGTATCGCGGACAAGGGAGAGCGCACCCCAGACCCGAAACGCCGACGCATCGCCAACCTCCCCCGTCCAACGCAGTGTAGGCGAGGTCTCTGGCATAGAGACACGGGGCCAGAGGTTGAGTTGATGCGCGGCGTATCGGACCGCAAACGGCCACATAAAATGGGGAGCAACCGCATGGATCATGGAGGTGCGAGCAACCTCCATGACCAAGCCAATGCGACGCCCAGCAATCCCATTATGCTGCGGAGAGGCCGGAAGCGTGAACGACTGGGCGATGCCTCCCGCATGACAAAAACCCTCAAGGAGGCGGGAGGATAACTCACCGCCTCGGTCAGAGTGAAGTCGCATGACGTGGAGGTCCTGTACACGGACGCGGGCTGGGCTGTACACGTCCATGTGGAGAGTCTGTAGAGGAGCAGTGTTCGGCGGAAACGAGGAGGAGTGAGGAGCGGCGCGCTGCCGCTCCTCGACGCAGGAAAGGCACGGCGGTGCAAGCGAGTGCGGGAGCGGTGCAGGAACCTGGGGAGGCCAGAGACAAGGAGACGAGAGTGCATGCCACGCCGGCGCGGCAGCGAGGGGTGACCAAGACGGTGGTGCCAGAGGAGAGTCTGGTGCGTGAGTATCCGACACGAAGAAGATGCAGCTAACTGACCCGACGCAGCTGCCTGACCCGACGCAGCTACCTGTGCAGTCTCAGTGGTTAGTGTGTACAGGCCAGACCCAGGGCTCCGAGTGAAAGTGGCGAGGTGCTCGCCAGTGTGTGAGTCCGTACAGCTCGCCACTAGCTCACCCCCAGGAGTAGTCACAGTGACAAACTGGTCCTGGAGGACAGCGTTACTCACCAAGTTCTTAGAGAACGAGGGGAGGTGGAAACCTCTAAGGGAGCCTGAGGGGGCTGCCGGACATGGGAAAACGGTGGAGGCACGTGCTACGACTGGGCCCCCAGAGGGGTCATCTAGAGAGACCGGGACAGGTGCAGTGAGCGGTGCACCTGTGGTGCAGTCGCGGAAGAAGCAGCTAGTCGCGCCTGAGTCAAGCGTGAAGGTGTGCAAAGCCTCCACAGAAACTGCACATGTGCTACCATGCTCATTGGCACCTAAACTAGTAGCCTCTGCACTACCAGGGACGCGTCGCTGAGAAACCCACTCGCGAAGCTGCTGTGGCGAGAGGGTCTCCTGCTGACGCTGCTGCCGATGCTGTCCAGTACCTCTAGCACCATAACCTCCACCTCCTGGACGGCCTTGCTGAAAACCCACTCACGAAGCTGCTGTGGCGAGAGAGTCTCCTGGCGACGAGACTGCCGTTTCTGTCCAGTACCTCCAGCACCATAACCTCCACCATCAGGACGGCCTCGCTGAATAACCCACTCACGAAGCTGCTGTGGCGAGAGAGTCTCTTGGCGACGAGACTGCCGCTGCTGTCCAGTACCTCCACCACCATAACCTCCACCACCAGGACGGCCTCGCCGAATAACCCACTCGCGAAGCTGCTGCGGCGATAGAGTCTCCGGCTCACACTGCTACTGCTGTCCACCGCCAGACGCTGCTACGACCGTGATAGTGGCCATGACTGGCAGTGGCAGTCAGTAGCAGCGGCGCAAGGGCGTTAGAAGCGACTGCTGTAGCTGCAGTTGTAGCAGTAGCGTTAGTCGCTGTAGTGCAGGGCAGGGCAGCGCGCGGGCTGCAGGGCTGCGCGAGCAGGGCAGCGCGCGGGCTGCAGGGCGTGCGGGCAGCCGGGCAGGGTAGCGCGCGGGCTGCAGGGCAGGGCAGCACGTGGGCTGCAGGGCAGGGCGGCGCGCGGGCTGCAGGGCAGGGCAGCGCGCAGGCTGCAGGGCAGGGCGGCGCGGGGGCTGCAGGGCCGGGCGGCACGCAGGCTACAGTGCAGGGCGGCGCGCGGGCTGCAGGGCTGCGCAGGCAGGGCAGCGCGTGGGCTGCAGGGCGTGTGGGCAGCCGGGCAGGGCAGCGCGCGGGCTGCAGGGCAGGGCGGCGCGCGGGCTGCAGGGCAGGGCGGCGCGCGGGCTGCAGGGCAGGACGGCAGGGCAGCGCGCGGGCTGCAGGGCGTGCGGGCAGCCGGGCAGGGCAGCGCACGGGCTGCAGGGCAGGGCGGCGCGCGGGCTGCAGGGCAGGGCGGCGCGCGGGCTGCAGGGCAGGGCAGCAAGCGGGCAGGTCGCGGGCAGCTTCGCGCGCGGGTAGCGCCTAGGGCAGCGTGCAAGCCAGGTCAGGGCAGCGTGCAGGACGCTGTGAGGGCAGGGCAGTTTCGATCGGGCAGGGCAGTTCGTACGGTTGGTGGGCCCTAACGGAGCGGTCCTACGGAGGGACCTGCTCTGAATACCATGTCAGAAATAGCAGGCAAGAATGATTGACTAGGATGCAACCATGAGTACAAGTACTAGGGTTGACCTAGAATGTTGTACCCCTTAGAGTATGCCCCACTACAGTCTAGAGATAACAAATGAACTTTGACAAGTACATGGCTAGCTAGGACCTTTCGTATTCCATTGTATTCCTATATAAACACTTGTACCGCATTGCAATCAGGGCTAATTTTTGGATTTGAGCTACCCTTATTATCAGTGTAGTACAAGTGCAAAAACCTGATTATCAGTGTTACCCCTTGTAAAAACCCTGATGCATCAGGGTTTAGGCTGTTTTTGTAAAATCTACCCTGTCGCATCAGTGTTCGTAAATGACAAACCCTGGTGAATTGCTTTTAACGTTGCACTCAATACAAATTTTAGTCATCATCATCAGACATGCCACAAATGGGGGGGTGGGGGAACTGGGGGGCGGTTTCGGTTTCGCCAGTTGGCAATCGGGATTCGGGAATCCCGGGTTACGGGAAAGGGGGGGTGGGGGAACTGGGGGGGCGGGGAGGGGTATGGGTCTCGATTCAGGGTAAAACTCATTATGGAAATCGGGAACCCTTAGTCATCAGTGTGCCTTAAATGTAAACCCTGGCACATCAGGAAAATCTTGACTCCTAAAAAAATTACCCGGGACCATCAGTGTGACTACCAAAAACCACCCTGATTATCAGGGTATCAGGGTGATTTACACTGATAAAATTAGCCCTGATTGCAATACTCACTTCAGTCGAGATTCAAATCTCCTTCTGACAGGGTCCGTAGCTGATTTCACTAGCAATCTTTCGCTGCTACACTACGTGCGCTCAACCTGAGACGATTCTATAAACCAAAATTTCACATTGTAACACGATGTATGGAATATAGAAACACAGCAGAACACTGAAAATGTTTTCTGAAAGTTCTATACAATTTGCATTGACTTCATAGCCACTCTTTAATACTGCTATTAGTTCATGCGATCTGTAACGAGGTATGATACTATTCAGCATTGCGCTTCGGCCTTCGACTTTTGAAAATTGAAATTCGTGCGCTCCAGCGTTCCTCACGTCATGCTGCAATCAGCAATGCCAACGCGAAACAGTGTCTTTTGTCTCTCTTTTTTTGTCTTCGGTGTGAAGTGTTGCCAGCGCTGAGTGTCGTCTCACTCATTCACCATCTGGGACCCTCCTAGAGATTGGCAGCGCCTGGCTGCTTCTATTTATTCCGCACTCGTGGCACGCACGATCGCCGTACGTTGACGGATAGGCAGGTGTGCGACAGCGTCGGATAAGCACGTAGGCGACGCCGTGACGTCAGGTAGGTAGGTGGGCGACGACGTCGCAAAGGCAGTTGGGTGACGATGTCGAATAAGCATGTAGACGATTACTTCGGATAGGCAGGGTGAGAACGTCGGGGTTCGAGGGTGGTAGGAGCGGCGGCGTGTGGGTGATCCCATGAGTGATGCGTTGTCGCATTGTTATGCCATTCTCTATCGCACTCCTGCTCATCTATCGATCTCCTGTACACCTTTCGCCCTCCCTTCTGCGACGGTCAGATTGGCGCTGCGCTCTTCGACATCCTCCACTCCCATGGCTGGGCGCCGCTCTCAGGTAGGCTGGGCGCCGCTCTCAGGTAGGCTGGGCGCCGCTCTCAGGTAGGCTGGGCGCCGCTCTCAGGTAGGCTGGGCGTCGCTCTCAGGTAGGCTGGGCGCCGCTCTCAGGTAGGCTGGGCGCCGCTCTCAGGTAGGCTGGGCGCCGCTCTCAGGTAGTAGGCTGGGCGCCGCTCTCAGGTAGGCTGGGCGCCGCTCTCAGGTAGGCTGGGCGCCGCTCTCAGGTAGGCTGGGCGCCGCTCTCAGGTAGGCTGGGCGCCGCTCTCAGGTAGGCTGGGCGCCGCTCTCAGGTAGGCTGGGCGCCGAAACATGGCTGAAGCTGCTCTCCATCCCTGCCGAGGGGTGCGTTGCGGTGCGCCGAAACATGGCTCGCCGCGGTGCGCGCAGCATGCGCTCGTGCCCCAATGCCGCCATGCGTGTCCCAATGCCGCCATGCGTGCCCCCAATGCAGCCATGCGTGCCCCAATGCCGCCATGCGTGCCCCAATGCCGCCATGCGTGCCCCAATGCCGCCATGCGTGCCCCAGTGCCGCCATGCGTGCCCCAATGCCGCCATGCGTGCCCCAATGCCGCCATGCGTGTCCCAATGCCGCCATGCGTGCCCCAATGCCGCCATGCGTGCCCCAATGCCGCCATGCGTGTCCCAATGCCGCCATGCGTGCCCCAATGCCGCCATGCGTGCCCCAATGCCGCCATGCGTGCCCCAATGCCGCCATGCGTGCCCCAATGCCGCCATGCGTGCCCCAGTGCCGCCATGCGTGCCCCAATGCTGCCATGCGTCTCCCAATGCCACACTCCCGGCCCCACGTGTGTGTTGGCAGGAGGGGCAGGGAGCGGAGGCGGGGCAGGAGGTGCTGGCGGAGCAGGCGGGGCGGCAGGCGGGGTTGGCGGGGCAGGTAGCTGCGGAGGCGGTGAGGAGCAACGAGGGCTACGTGGCGTTGGCGTGGGCCAGACGCACCGAGGCGCGCGGCGGGTGGTGGGACGGGCGACACATGACGCAGCTCGTGGCGGCGGCCGGTTGGGACGGGCGCACTGGACGGCCCGCGCAGGGCACCTGCTCGGGAGAAGATGCGCTCGGGGCGGGGGAGGCAGAGGGAAAGGACGCGGCGAGGGGCAAGGTGGCAGGGGGGAAGGCGAGCGGCATCTCGATGCTGCCGCCGGTGACGGCCCTGCCCCGCTACACTGCCTGGCGCGTTGCCTCCCAGTGAGTCCGCAGCGAGTGAGCCGGTGGCGAGTGAGCCCGCAGCGAGTGAGTTGGCAGCGAGTGAGTCTGCAGCGAGTGAGTCGGCAGCGTTTGAGTCGGCAATATCAGCCGCATTTCCGCCTCGGTGCTTTATGTGCGTGCCAGTATCTCTGTTGTTTCATTCCGTTTGTGTGGACGCATGTGATTTTGTGCATGCATGCGTGCATGTGCGTGCATGTGCGTGCATGTGCGTGCGTGCGTGCGTGCGTGCGTGCGTGCGTGTGTGTGTTTACGTGTGCGAGCATGATGGGAGCAGCAACGGGGTGCGTGTGGACATGTACGAGCAGGTGAAGCCAGGCGAGGACGAGGGGACGGACACGAGGGCCACGGCCACCACCACCCATGGAGGGGCCTCGTGTGCTCCTGAGGAGCTCCCTTTCAGGTGCCCACCACTCATCTCATTCTCTCACTCTCCCATTGCCGAGGCGACCTCGCTTACAGTCCCACATTTCCTTCCTCGCTGTATTAGTCGCAACTCATCTCCCGCTGCTCATTCCCGTTGCCAATCCTCGTCGCTCATTCCCCATCACCCATTGCCCATCACCCATTCCCCGTTGCCCATCGCCCATCCCCCATCGCCCATGGCCCGTGCCGTGGAGGAGGCAGCAAGTTCCAGGAGGTGGAGGGGCAGCGCCGCTCACTCGCTCACTGTGAGCTGCCTCTCCCTCCACCTTCACCGCTTCGATCGCTCCACGCGCGTCTTGTTCAAATGCTCATGCTCATGCTCATGCTCATCGTGTGACGCACATGGGGCCTTGAATGGGGCATGGGGCCTGCCATGCAGCCACCAACGCTGTGCCCACAGCACACTCCACATGTGCAAGCATCACATCTAATGTCTATGCTGCTGGCATGCTGGCGTGGTGGTGGGGTGGCGTGGTGGCAGGGGGGCGGCGAGCAGTAGAGGGGCGGGAGGGGGGGGAGCTGTGGGAGTCGGCGGTGTCGTTCGACCGCCTCTTCTGCTGCGTCTGCCGGGTGAGCCGCCTCTCCGTCACCACTCGCTGCCTTGCTTGCCACTCGCTGCCTTGCTTGCCACTCGCTGCCTTGCTTGCCACTCGCTGCCTTGCTTGCCACTCGCTGCCTTGCTTGCCACTCGCTGCCTTGCTTGACCCTCGCTGCCTTGCTTGCCACTCGCTGCCTTGCTTGCCACTCAGTGCCTTGCTTGCCACTCACTGCCTTGCTTGCCACTCACTGCCTTGCTTGCCACTCACTGCCTTGCTTGCCACTCGCTGCCTTGCTTGCCACTCGCGGCCTTGCTTGCCACTCAGTCCCTTGCTCGCCACTCACTGCCTTGCTTGCCACTCACTGCCTTGCTTGCCACTCACTGCCTTGCTCGCCACTCACTGCCTTGCTTGCCACTCACTGCCTTGCTTGCCACTCACTGCCTTGCTTGCCACTCACTGCCTTGCTTGCCACTCACTGCCTTGCTTGCCACTCACTGCCTTGCTTGCCACTCACTGCCTTGCTTGCCACTCACTGCCTTGCTTGCCACTCACTGCCTTGCTTGCCACTCACTGCCTTGCTTGCCACTCACTGCCTTGCTTGCCACTCACTGCCTTGCTTGCCACTCACTGCCTTGCTTGCCACTCACTGCCTTGCTTGCCACTCACTGCCTTGCTTGCCACTCACTGCCTTGCTTGCCACTCACTGCCTTGCTTGCCACTCACTGCCTTGCTTGCCACTCACTGCCTTGCTTGCCACTCACTGCCTTGCTTGCCACTCACTGCCTTGCTTGCCACCTGCCTGCCTGTTTGGAAGCTGTCTCTTTGATTGTTGAGATAACTCGTGCCTTGGGGCCAGCTTGACCGAGACTCCTCTTCCCATACGTCTCTTCATGCATGTGTGTGTTTGTGTGTGTGTGTGTGTGTGTTTGTGTGTGTGTGTGTCCGTGCGCGCGCGCGTGTGTGGGTGTGAGTGTGTGTGTGAGTGTGTGTGTGTGTGTGTGAGTGTGTGTGTGTGTGTGTGTGCGCGCATGTCTGTGTATGTCTGCATGTGCGTGCGTATGCGTGTATGTCCGTCCACGTGTGTGACACCTGTGCACCGGTGCATGCATGCCAACCATCGCCCCTATCTCACCGTACAGTGCTTTGACTGTCAGCGGCACGACAACATCCCCAACACCACATTTAAGGTGCCCTCCCCTGCTGCCCACCCCTGCCGCCCACCCCTGCCGCCCTCACTTGCCGCCCACCCCCTCCCCTGCCACCCTCCCCTGCCGCCCTTCCCCTGCCGCCCTCCCTTGCTGCCCTCTCCACTGTGCACGAGTTGCCAGTTACGTCTTTCCACTCCACCGCCCTCGCCTTTCGTATGAGGCATCCAAAGCACGCCTGGGGTTCTCACAACCGACCCACGCGCCCACCCCCATGGCTGTGCTGTGCTGTGCTGGTTGGCTTGGCAGGACCTCACGGCGCCCTTCAGCCCTCCCTCGCCGCCACCCCAACCACCCGCTGTGGCCTGTAGCCCGCACTGCCACGTGCTGGTATGCCATCTGCCACGTGCTGGTATGCCATCTGCCACGTGCTGGTATGCCATCTGCCACATGCTGGTATGCCATCTGCCACGTGCTGGTATGCCATCTGCCACGTGCTGGTATGCCATCTGCCACGTGCTGGTATGCCATCTGCCACGTGCTGGTATGCCATCTGCCACATGCTGGTAGGCCATCTGCCATCTGTCATTGCTATTGTGAATTTCGCTCAGTCGTCTGCACCATCCACTGCTTTCCGTTCCTCCTCGCTCTGTCACAGTCTCTGCACTGTGCTGCTGCTCTGCATTCACTGCACCCCATCGTCTGCCATGTGTCGCTCCACCATCCTCCTCGCCCTTGCCTCGCCCATGCCTCTCATGGGCTGCAGGGAGGCCGTGCTGCCATCCACGAGGGCAGTTGGAGCGACGATGACAAGTTGATGCTTCAAATTGCATTCCAAATCTTTGACTACAGCAGGCACGTGCATTCCTATCTTCCCTTGCACGTGCATTCCTATCTTCCCTTGCACGTGCATTCCTATCTTCCCTTGCACGTGCATTCCTATCTTCCCTTGCACGTGCATTCCTATCTTCCCTTGCACGTGCATTCCTATCTTCCCTTGCACGTGCATTCCTATCTGCCCTTGCACGTGCATTCCTATCTTCCCTTGCACGTGCATTCCTATCTTCCCTTGCACGTGCATTCCTATCTTCCCTTGCACGTGCATTCCTATCTTCCCTTGCACGTGCATTCCTATCTTCCCTTGCACGTGCATTCCTATCTTCCCTTGCACGTGCATTCCTATCTTCCCTTGCACGTGCATTCCTATCTTCCCTTGCACGTGCATTCCTATCTTCCCTTGCACGTGCATTCCTATCTGCCCTTGCACGTGCATTCCTATCTTCCCTTGCACGTGCATTCCTATCTTCCCTTGCACGTGCATTCCTATCTTCCCTTGCACGTGCATTCCTATCTTCCCTTGCACGTGCATTCCTATCTTCTCTTGCACGTGCATTCCTATCTGCCCTTGCACGTGCATTCCTATCTTCCCTTGCACGCGCATTCCTATCTGCCCTTGCACGTGCATTCCTATCTTCCCTTGCACGTGCATTCCTATCTTCCCTTGCACGTGCATTCCTATCTTCCCTTGCACGTGCATTCCTATCTTCCCTTGCACGTGCATTCCTATCTGCCCTTGCACGTGCATTCCTATCTTCCCTTGCACGTGCATTCCTATCTGCCCTTGCACGTGCATTCCTATCTTCCCTTGCACGTGCATTCCTATCTTCCCTTGCACGTGCATTCCTATCTTCCCTTGCACTTGCATTCCTATCTTCCCTTGCACGTGCATTCCTATCTTCCCTTGCACGTGCATTCCTATCTTCCCTTGCACGTGCATTCCTATCTTCCCTTGCACGTGCATTCCTATCTGCCCTTGCACGTGCATTCCTATCTTCCCTTGCACGTGCATTCCTATCTTCCCTTGCACGTGCATTCCTATCTTCCCTTGCACGTGCATTCCTATCTTCCCTTGCACGTGCATTCCTATCTGCCCTTGCACGTGCATTCCTATCTTCCCTTGCACGTGCATTCCTATCTTCCCTTGCACGTGCATTCCTATCTTCCCTTGCACGTGCATTCCTATCTTCCCTTGCACGTGCATTCCTATCTTCCCTTGCACGTGCATTCCTATCTGCCCTTGCACGTGCATTCCTATCTTCCCTTGCACGTGCATTCCTATCTTCCCTTGCACGTGCATTCCTATCTTCCCTTGCACTTGCATTCCTATCTTCCCTTGCACGTGCATTCCTATCTTCCCTTGCACGTGCATTCCTATCTTCCCTTGCACGTGCATTCCTATCTTCCCTTGCACGTGCATTCCTATCTGCCCTTGCACGTGCATTCCTATCTTCCCTTGCACGTGCATTCCTATCTTCCCTTGCACGTGCATTCCTATCTTCCCTTGCACGTGCATTCCTATCTTCCCTTGCACGTGCATTCCTATCTTCCCTTGCACGTGCATTCCTATCTTCCCTTGCACGTGCATTCCTATCTTCCCTTGCACGTGCATTCCTATCTGCCCTTGCACGTGCATTCCTATCTTCCCTTGCACGTGCATTCCTATCTTCCCTTGCACGTGCATTCCTATCTTCCCTTGCACGTGCATTCCTATCTTCCCTTGCACGTGCATTCCTATCTTCCCTTGCACGTGCATTCCTATCTGCCCTTGCACGTGCATTCCTATCTTCCCTTGCACGTGCATTCCTATCTTCCCTTGCACGTGCATTCCTATCTTCCCTTGCACGTGCATTCCTATCTTCCCTTGCACGTGCATTCCTATCTGCCCTTGCACGTGCATTCCTATCTTCCCTTGCACGTGCATTCCTATCTTCCCTTGCACGTGCATTCCTATCTTCCCTTGCACGTGCATTCCTATCTTCCCTTGCACGTGCATTCCTATCTTCCCTTGCACGTGCATTCCTATCTGCCCTTGCACGTGCATTCCTATCTTCCCTTGCACGTGCATTCCTATCTTCCCTTGCACGTGCATTCCTATCTTCCCTTGCACTTGCATTCCTATCTTCCCTTGCACGTGCATTCCTATCTTCCCTTGCACGTGCATTCCTATCTTCCCTTGCACGTGCATTCCTATCTTCCCTTGCACGTGCATTCCTATCTGCCCTTGCACGTGCATTCCTATCTTCCCTTGCACGTGCATTCCTATCTTCCCTTGCACGTGCATTCCTATCTTCCCTTGCACGTGCATTCCTATCTTCCCTTGCACGTGCATTCCTATCTTCCCTTGCACGTGCATTCCTATCTTCCCTTGCACGTGCATTCCTATCTTCCCTTGCACGTGCATTCCTATCTTCCCTTGCACGTGCATTCCTATCTTCCCTTGCACGTGCATTCCTATCTGCCCTTGCACGTGCATTCCTATCTTCCCTTGCACGTGCATTCCTATCTTCCCTTGCACGTGCATTCCTATCTTCCCTTGCACGTGCATTCCTATCTTCCCTTGCACGTGCATTCCTATCTTCCCTTGCACGTGCATTCCTATCTGCCCTTGCACGTGCATTCCTATCTTCCCTTGCACGCGCATTCCTATCTGCCCTTGCACGTGCATTCCTATCTTCCCTTGCACGTGCATTCCTATCTTCCCTTGCACGTGCATTCCTATCTTCCCTTGCACGTGCATTCCTATCTGCCCTTGCACGTGCATTCCTATCGTGCGTCCCTCGTTTTCACATGGCTGACTTCGTCCTCTTCGTTATGCCCATTCCCACCACAATCCTGCATCACCTCACCTCGCTCTCCTCTCTGTTCTCTCCCTTTGGCTCTCTCCTCTCTGCTCTCTCCATCTCCTCTCTCGCAGCTGTGTTATAGAAGCAACGCTGCAGAGGGGCCGTCACACCTGCAGAGACATACACGCGTTGCTGCTGCGCCTTCAAGAGGTGGGAGTGGGTGGCAGTGGCAGCATCCTCTCAATGCGTGGCAGTGGCAGCATCCTCTCAATGCGTGGCAGTGGCAGCATCCTCTCAATGCGTGGCAGTGGCAGCATCCTCTCAATGCGTGGCAGTGGCAGCATCCTCTCAATGCGTGGCAGTGGCAGCATCCTCTCAATGCGTGGCAGTGGCAGCATCCTCTCAATGCGTGGCAGTGGCAGCATCCTCTCAATGCGTGGCAGTGGCAGCATCCTCTCAATGCGTGGCAGTGCCAGCATCCTCTCAATGCGCGCCTCACTCCAGCAATGGGCACGAGGGGCCTCATTCCGTCCCTCTCACTCAAGGCGACTCACTTGTGTTCTGCATGCCTTTTGTGTCGCAGGCCTCACATTCAGCTGGCACACGCCCGGGTGTGCCTCGCACCCCGCTGCGCCAAGAGTGCTGCCTGCACCCGCCAGCGCCGGTGGCGCCATCCTCTGCTGCCGTGAAGGCGCTGCTGCAGCAGCGGTCACACATTCCCCCCTGCCAACTCGTGAGTGCTGCAGGCAGAGTGGTGAGTGCAGCCGGCAGAGTGGTGAGTGCAGCCGGCAGAGTGGTGAGTGCAGCCATCAGAGTGATGAGTGCAGCGCTGCTGGGAGGTGTGTGGCGGTGTTTGCAGCAGTGCTTCAACCCCACACATCGCTGAATCCCAATGCCCTGTGCACACTTGATGCACCCCATCCTTCCGCCCGCCCTTTGTGCCCCCCGTGGCCCCCCGTGCCTGGCAGGAGGCATACACTCCATGTGCGTGTGCGGGGGAGTGCGCGCGGGGCAGCTGTGAGTGCCGCAAGGAAAAGAACTTCTGCGAGAAGCAGTGCAGGTAGCGGGTTGGTGGGGGAGGCGTGTTGCTGTTCCAGTGGTTGCACTCGCACTGGATCCCTGTGGCTTGCATACTCTCATGCGGTCGGTTGCCTTGCACATGAGCACATGAACACACTAACACACTAACACATGAACACATGAACACATGAACGCACGCATGAACACATGAACACATGAACACATGAACGCACGCATGAACACATGAACACATGAACACATGAACACATGAACACACGAACACACGAACACATGAACGCATGAACACATGAACACATGAACACATGAACACATGTACACATGAACACATGAACACAATAACACATGAACACACTAACACACTAACACATGAAAACACTAACACACTAGCACATGAACACATGAACACATTAACACACCAACACATGAACACACGATCACACGAACACACGAACACATGAACACGTGATCACATGGACACACTAATACACTAACACAATAACACATGAACACATTAAACATGAACACACTATCACACTAACACAAGAACACATGAACACATGAAGACATGAACACACTAACACATGAACACACGAACACATAACAAACGAACACACAAACACATGAACACACGAACACATGATCACACTAACACATGAACACCAAGTAAGCACACGTGTGCAAGTCTCATGCATGCACCTGTGAGTCCCTCACACCCACCCACTCAATCCAATCACCCACCCGCACCCTCAACCACTGCACTGTCCCCGCTCGCCCCATGGGTGCGTGGCAGGTGCGGCAAGGACTGCCCCAACAGGTTCCCCGGGTGCGCGTGCAAGGGCAAGTGCAACACCACCACGTGCATCTGCCGCCGCGCCGGCCGTGAGTGCGACCCCGACACCTGCCAGCACTGCATGGGGTGAGAGAGAGGGGCAGTGCACGGGGTGGGAGAGAGGGGCAGTGCACGGGGTGAGAGAGAGGGGCAGTGCACGGGGTGAGAGAGAGGGGCAGTGCACGGGGTGAGAGAGAGGGGCAGTGCACGGGGTGAGAGAGAGGGGCAGTGCACGGGGTGAGAGAGAGGGGCAGTGCACGGGGTGAGAGAGAGGGGCAGTGCACGGGGTGAGAGAGAGGGGCAGTGCACAGGGTGAGAGAGAGGGGCAGTGCACGGGGTGGGAGCCCTCACACGTGCCTCTGTATCCCGTCGTGTGTCATGCCTCATCTCAAGCCGAACCCCCTCCCCTGCCCTCCCCTGCCCCTCTGCCCCTCTCTGCCTCCCTCTGCCCCCCTCTGCCCTCCCCTGCCCTCCCTTGCCCTCCTCTGCCCTCCTCTGCCTCCCTCTGTCCCCCGCTGCCCCCTGCTGCCCTCCTCTGCCTGCGTGTGCGCGCATGCGCATGGCAGCACGGAGCCACAGTCGTGCTGCAACATGCAGCTCTCCCGTCGCCACTCCGTGCAGGTGCCGTGCCACTCCGTGCAGGTGCCGTGCCATGGGATGATGAGGGAGGGAGGGAGGGAGGGAGGGAGGGAGGGAGGGAGGGAGGGAGGGACGGAGGGAGGGAGGGAGGGAGGGACGGAGGAGGGGGAGGGAGGGAGGGAGGGAGGGAGGGAGGGAGGGAGGGAGGGAGGGAGGGAGGGACGGAGGGAGGGAGGGAGGGACGGAGGGAGGGAGGGAGGGAGGGAGGGAGGGACGGAGGAGGGAGGGAGGGAGGGAGGGAGGGAGGGAGGGAGGAGGAGGGACGGAGGGACGGAGGGGGAGGGGGAGGGAGGGACGGAGGAGGGAGGGAGGGAGGGAGGGAGGGAGGGAGGGACGGAGGGAGGGAGGAGGGAGGGAGGGACGGAGGAGGGAGGGAGGAGGGAGGGAGGGAGGGAGGGGGGGGGGAGGGAGGAGGGAGGGAGGGAGGGGGGAGGGAGGGACGGAGGGAGGGACGGAGGGAGGGAGGAGGGAGAGGGAGGGAGGGAGGGAGGGAGGAGAGGGAGGGGAGGGAGGAGGGAGGGAGGGAGGGAGGGAGGGAGGGAAGGGAGGGAGGGAGGGAGGGACGGGAGGGACGGAGGAGGGAGGGAGGGAGGGAGGAGGGAGGGAGGGAGGGAGGGAGGGAGGGAGGGAGGGAGGGAGGGAGGGAGGGAGGGAGGGAGGGGAGGACGGAGGGAGGGAGGGAGGGAGGAGGGACGGAGGAGGAGGGAGGGAGGGAGGGAGGGAGGGAGGGAGGAGGGAGGGAGGGAGGGACGGAGGGAGGGAGGGAGGGAGGAGGGAGGGACGGAGGGAGGGAGGAGGGAGGGAGGGAGGGACGGAGGAGGGAGGGAGGGAGGGAGGGAGGGACGGAGGGAGGGAGCGGAGGAGGGAGGGAGGGAGGGAGGGAGGGACGGAGGAGGAGGGAGGGAGGGACGGGAGGGGAGGGAGGGAGGGAGGGAGGGAGGGAGGGAGGGAGGGAGGGAGGGAGGGAGGGAGGGAGGGAGGGAGGGAGGGAGGGAGGGAGGAGGGTAGGGAGGGAGGGACGGAGGAGGAGGAGGGAGGGAGGGAGGGAGGGACGGGGAGGGACGGAGGGAGGGAGGGAGGGAGGGAAGAGGAGGGAGGAGGGAGGCGGAGGGAGGGAGGGAGGGAGGGAGGAGGGAGGAGACGGAGGAGGAGGGAGGGAGGGAGGGAGGGAGGGAGGAGGGAGGGAGGAGGGAGGGAGGAGGGAGGGAGGGAGGAGGGAGGGAGGGAGGAGGGAGGGAGGAGGAGGGAGGTAGGAGGGAGGGAGGAGAGGGAGGGAGGGAGGGAGGAGGAGGGAGGGAGGGACGGAGGGAGGGAGGGAGGGAGGGAGGGAGGGGAGGGAGGGAGGGAGGGAGGAGGGAGGGAGGGAGGGAGGGACGGAGGAGGAGGGGAGGGAGGAGGAGGAGGGAGGGAGGGAGGGAGGGAGGGAGGGAGGGAGGGACGGGAGGAGGGAGGGAGGGAGGAGGGAGGGAGGGAGGGAGGAGGGAGGGATGGAGGGAGGAGGGGAGGGACGGAGGAGGGAGGAGGAGGAGGGAGGGAGGAGGGAGGGAGGGACGGAGGAGGGAGGGAGGGAGGGAGACGGAGGGAGGGAGGGAGGGACGGGAGGGAGGGAGGGAGGGAGCGGAGGGAGGAGGGAGGGAGGGACGGAGGGAGGGAGGAAGGGAGGAGGGAGGGACGAGGAGGGAGGGAGTGAGGGAGGACGGAGGGAGGGAGGGAGGGAGGGAGGAGGGAGGGAGGTAGGGGGAGGGAGGGAGGGAGGGAGGGAGGAGGGACGGAGGGAGGGAGGGAGGGAGGGAGGGAGGGAGGAGGGAGGGAGGGAGGGAGGGAGGGACGGAGGGAGGGAGGGAGGGAGGGACGGGAGGGACGGGAGGGAGGGAGGGAGGGAGGGAGGGAGGGAGGGAGGGAGGAGGGAGGGAGGGAGGGAGGGAGGGAGGGACGGAGGAGGGAGGGAGGGAGGGAGGGAGGGAGGGAGGGACGGAGGGAGGGAGGGAGGGAGGGAGGGAGGGAGGGAGGGAGGGAGGGAGGGAGGGAGGGAGGGAGGGAGGGAGGAGGAGGGAGGGAGGGAGGGAGGGAGGGAGGGAGGGAGGGAGGGAGGGAGGGAGGAGGGATTGAGGAGGGAGGAGGGAGGGAGGGAGGGAGGGAGGGAGGGAGGGAGGGAGGGAGGGAGGGAGGGAGGGAGGAGGGAGGGAGGGACGGAGGAGGGAGGGAGGGAGGGAGGAGGGAGGGAGGGAGGGAGGGAGGGAGGGAGGGAGGGAGGGACGGAGGAGGGAGGGAGGGAGGGAGGGAGGGAGGGAGGGAGGGAGGGAGGGAGGGAGGGAGGGAGGGAGGGAGGGACGGAGGAGGGAGGGAGGGAGGGAGGGAGGGAGGGAGGGAGGAGGGAGGGAGGGAGGGAGGGAGGGAGGAGGGAGGGAGGGAGGGAGGGAGGAGGGAGGAGGGAGGGAGGGAGGGAGGAGGGAGGGAGGGAGGAGGGAGGGAGGGAGGGAGGGAGGGAGGGAGGGAGGGAGGGAGGGAGGGAGGGAGGGAGGGAGGGAGGAGGGAGGAGGAGGGAGGGAGGGAGGGAGGGAGGGACGGAGGAGGGAGGGAGGGAGGGAGGGAGGGAGGGAGGAGGGAGGGAGGGAGGGAGGGAGGGAGGGAGGGAGGGAGGGAGGGACGGAGGGAGGAGGGAGGGAGGGAGGGAGGGACGGAGGAGGGAGGGAGGAGGAGGGAGGGAGGGAGGGAGGGAGGGACGGAGGAGGGAGGGAGGGAGGGAGGAGGGAGGAGGAGGGAGGGAGGGAGGGAGGGAGGGAGGGAGGGAGGAGGGAGGGAGGGAGGGAGGAGGGAGGGAGGGAAGGGAGGGAGGGAGGGAGGGAGGGACGGAGGGAGGGAGGGAGGGAGGGAGGGAGGGAGGGAGGGAGGGAGGGAGGGAGGGAGGGAGGGACGGAGGGAGGGAGGGAGGGAGGGAGGGAGGAGGGAGGGAGGGAGGGAGGGAGGAGGGAGGGAGGGAGGGAGGGAGGGAGGGAGGGAGGGAGGGAGGGAGGGAGGGAGGGAGGGAGGGAGGGAGGGAGGGAGGGAGGGAGGGAGGGAGGGAGGGAGGAGGGAGGGAGGGAGGGAGGGAGGAGGGAGGGAGGAGGGAGGGAGGGAGGGAGGGAGGGAGGAGGAGGGAGGGAGGGAGGGAGGGAGGGAGGGAGGGAGGGAGGGACGGAGGGAGGGAGGGAGGGAGGGAGGGACGGAGGAGGGAGGGAGGGAGGGAGGGAGGGAGGGAGGGAGGGAGGGAGGGAGGGAGGGAGGAGGGAGGGAGGGACGGAGGAGGGAGGGAGGGAGGGAGGAGGGAGGGAGGGAGGGAGGGAGGGAGGGAGGGAGGGAGGGAGGGACGGAGGGAGGGAGGGAGGGAGGGAGGGACGGAGGAGGGAGGGAGGGAGGGAGGGAGGGAGGGACGGAGGGAACGGGAGGGAGGGAGGGAGGGATGGAGGGACGGAGGAGGGAGGGAGGGAGTGAGGGAGGGAGGGAGGGAGGGACGGAGGGAGGGAGGGAGGGAGGAGGGACGGAGGAGGGAGGGAGGGAGGGAGGGAGGGAGGGAGGGAGGGAGGGGAGGGAGGGAGGGAGGGAGGGAGGGACGGAGGGAGGGACGGAGGGAGGGACGGAGGGAGGGAGGGAGGGAGGGAGGGACGGAGGAGGGAGGAGGGAGGGAGGGAGGGAGGGAGGGAGGGAGGGAGGGAGGGAGGGAGGGAGGGAGGGAGGGACGGAGGGAGGGAGGGAGGGAGGGAGGGAGGGAGGGAGGGAGGGAGGGAGGGACGGAGGGAAGGGTGGATATTACAGATCCGAGAATAAGGAAGTAGAGAATGGAGGAGACGGGATGACCATCCTTCCACCTGCATGTCCCTGTTTCTGTTCTTTGCTATCTGCTACTCACTCTGCCTTATGTTGCTCTCGTCGGTTTGTTTCCTTGCTCTTACCTATCTGCCATGCTGCCTGCCCTCCACCTGGTATCCTGCACCTGTCGTGCCAGCAGGTCGAGGTGAAGTGCTCGCCTCTAGACGGCTGGGGAGCTTTCCTGCTGGTGCGTGCCTGCTGTGCTTGTTGTGCCTGTTGTGCTGTCATTTCACATGCACCGTGTCGTATTCATATGCTGAGGAGAGCGGACGGCCTTGGTGAGAGATAGCCTGCCAGGCAACAAGTCCTCTTGCTCGCTCACTGTGGCCTCCCTGCCTTGCGTGCCTCACGCTCAATCCTCATGCTGTGTGTGGGTGCACGCTGGGAGGGCAGCACGATGCTGGGCGGGGAGAGCTGGTGGGGGAGTACACGGGGGAGGTGCTCACGGAGGAGCAGTCCACTCGCCACGTCTTCGAGTTCGACCTCACCAACCAGGTGCCCTGCCCTGCATGTGCTGCCCTGCATGTGCTGCCCTGCATGTGCTGCACTGCCCTGCATCCCCTGCATCCCCTGCATGCCCTGCATGTGCTGCCCTGCATGTGCTGCCCTGCATGCGCTGCCCTGCATGCGCTGCCCTGCATGCGCTGCACTGCCCTGCATCCCCTGCATCCCCTGCATGCCCTGCATGCCCCGCATGTGCTTCATGTGCTGCATGCCCTGCATGCCCTGCATGTGCTGCATGTGCTGCGCTGCCTTGCATGTGCTGCATGCTGTCTGATGCTTGTGGTGTAAATAATATAGTTGTTCTTGCACAGAGACAATGTATAACTCGGCTTTCATAGAGTTGTGTTCATTCATGTTGGGTGCGGCACACGGCACATGGCGCACGACGCATGGCGCATGGTGCATGGCGCATGGTGCATGGTGCATGGTGCATGGCGCATGGCGCATGGTGCACGCCGCATGGTGCATGGCGCATGGCGCATGGTGCACGCCGCATGGTGCATGGCGCATGGCGCATGGTGCACGCCGCATGGTGCATGGCGCATGGCGCATGGTGCATGGCGCATGGTGCATGGCGCATGGTGCATGGCGCATGGCGCATGGTGCATGGCGCATGGTGCGTGGCGCATGGCATGGCAGGAGCTGCTGGATGCGGAGTGGAAGGGGAGTGCCCTCAAGTTTGCCAACCATTCACGGACCAACCCCAACTGTGAATGCAAGGTGGGTGGGGCTTGGGTGGGCGGCACCATGGCTGGGCGGCATCATGGCTGGGCGGCATCATGGCTGGGCGGCACCATGGCTGGGCGGCACCATGGCTGGGCTTCAGCACAAGGTCGTGCTTTTATTTGGATGTTTTTCCGCTAGCAATGCCCCTCCCATCCCCTTACCCCTCCCATCCCCTTACCCCTCCCATCCCCTTATCCCTCCGATCCCCTTACCCCTCCCATCCCCTTACCCCTCCCATTTCCTTATCCCTCCCGTCCCCTTACCCCTCTCGTCCCTTTACCCCTCCCGTCCCTTTACCCCTCTCGTCCCTTTACCCCTCCCGTCCCTTTACCCCTCTCGTCCCTTTACCCCTCCCGTCCCTTTACCCCTCTCGTCCCTTTACCCCTCCCGTCCCTTTACCCCTCCCGTCCCTTTACCCCTCCCGTCCCTTTACCCCTCCCGTCCCTTTACCCCTCCCGTTCCTTTACCCCTCCCGTCCCTTTACCCCTCCCGTTCCTTTACCCCTCCCACGCACGCGCCATGGCAGGTGGTGATGGTGGGCGGGGTGCACCGGGTGGGCATCTACGCGCTGCGCGACCTCAGGGCGGGCGACGAGGTGCTCTACGACTACTGCCTCAACGGCGGCAGCAGCAGCAGCAGCAGCAGGGGGCGGCGGCTGCCAGAGTTCAGAATCAAGGAGCCACCAAAGGAGGAGAGGGAGTGTCGTGAAACAAGGAGAGGTGCGGTCAAGTAGGGTGCAATGGAATGCGGTTGCAAGGGTGACTTGATCAATACAGGAGTGGTCTCATCTGCTCCGCCTTGCTCTCCCTGTGGCCGTTTGTACTTCCTACCATCATGCCCCACCCATTCGCTCTTCTCCAATTCGCTCTTCTCTCATTCGCTCTTTTCCCATTTTCTCTTCTCTTGTTCGATCTTCACCCATTCGCTCTTCACCCGTTCAATCCGTCTCAGGACGACGTGGAAGGAGAGGAGGGCGGGGAAGGAGAGGAAGGGACGGAGGCAGGAGTGGGGCTGGAGGGGAAGGCGGCAGTGCTGCAAGGGAGGGTGGACGTGATGCGAGGGAGGGTGGCATTGCTGAGAGGGAGGGTGGCAGTGCTGCGAGGGAAGAAGGCGTGGAGGAGGAGGCAATCAGGCATCTCAACAGACTGTGAGTTGTGCAGCTGTGCCATATCCATGTCATGCCGTGCCATCATGTGCCATGCCACGCCAGCATATGTTTTTTACTTGATGATACCCATCCATGCTATGCCCATCCATGCTATGCCCATCCATGCTATGCCCATCCATGCTATGCCCATCCATGCTGTGCCCATCCATGCAGTGCTCATGCACCTGTGACTTGGCATGTGCATGGTTGTGCAAATCACCATCATCACCATCATCATCATCATCATCATCATCATCATCATCATCATCATCATCATCATCATCATCATCATCATCATCATCATCATCATCATCATCATCATCATCATCATCATCATCATCATCATCGTCATCATCACCACCATCACCATCGTCACCATCGTCACCAGCATCACCATCGTCACCATCGTCACCACCATCACCATCGTCACCATCGTCACCACCATCACCATCGTCACCATCGTCACCATGATCCCCATCACTTGGCCGCTGCCATTGCAGGTGGGCTGGCGAGGACAAGAGCAATGTGGATGAGGAAGAGGAAAGAGTGAGTGCCGTTAGGTAGGGAGGGCAGGTAGGGCAGTTGATTAGGGCCGGTAGAAGAATCACTTGCCAAGCTTCCCGTTCCGCCGCCCAACAGTTTCCCTGGTGTGTTTTCCTCTTAGTTGTGCAACCATCATCCTTTCTCACCATTCCACACCACCCGTGCCAACTTCCTGCCCCCTCCCTCCTTCCCCACCATCTTCCACCCTCCCCTTCCTGCTTTTCCATCCCCCAAATCTTCCACTTCCCCACTCCCCCTCTCCACCCCTCCCCCCTCCCACCTCCCCACCCTCCCCCCCCTCACCCCCAGCTGATGGGCGACTTCACGGACGTGGCAGGGGGGGACGTACGCCTCATGCTCGCCTGGAACCGACTCATCCGCTCCCTCCGCATGTGAGCTCATCCGCTCCCTCCGCATGTGAGCTCATCCGCTCCCTCCGCATGTGAGCTCATCCGCTCCCTCCGCATGTGAGCTCATCCGCTCCCTCCGCATGTGAGCTCATCCGCTCCCTCCGCATGTGAGCTCATCCGCTCCCACCGCATGTGAGCTCATCCGCTCCCTCCGCATGTGAGCTCATCCGCTCCCTCCGCATGTGAGCTCATCCGCTCCCTCCGCATGTGAGCTCATCCGCTCCCACCGCATGTGAGCTCATCCGCTCCCTCCGCATGTGAGCTCATCCGCTCCCTCCGCATGTGAGCTCATCCGCTCCCTCCGGAGCCATCCGCTCCTCCGCATGTGAGCTCATCCGGCTCCCTCCGCATGTGAGCTCATCCGCTCCCTCCGCATGTGAGCTCATCCGCTCCCTCCGCATGTGAGCTCATCCGCTCCCTCCGCATGTGAGCTCATCCGCTCCCTCCGCATGTGAGCTCATCCGCTCCCTCCGCAATGTGAGCTCATCCGCTCCCTCCGCATGTGAGCTCATCCGCTCCCTCCGCATGTGAGCTCATCCGCTCCCTCCGCATGTGAGCTCATCCGCTCCCTCCGCATGTGAGCTCATCCGCTCCCCTCCGCATGTGAGCTCATCCGCTCCCTCCGCATGTGAGCTCATCCGCTCCCTCCGCATGTGAGCTCATCCGCTCCCTCCGCATGTGAGCTCATCCGCTCCCTCCGCATGTGAGCTCATCCGCTCCCTCCGCATGTGAGCTCATCCGCTCCCATCCGCATGTGAGCTCATCCGCTCCCTCCGCATGTGAGCTCATCCGCTCCCTCCGCATGTGAGCTCATCCGCTCCCTCCGCATGTGAGCTCATCCGCTCCCTCCGCATGTGAGCTCATCGCTCCCTCCGCATGTGAGCTATCCGCTCCCTCCGCATGTGAGCTCATCCATCCGCTCCCTCCGCATGTGAGCTCATCCGCTCCCTTCCGCATTGTGAGCTCATCCGCTCCCTCCGCATGTGAGCTCATCCGCTCCCTCCGCATGTGAGCTCATCCGCTCCCTCCGCATGTGAGCTCATCCGCTCCCTCCGCAATGTGAGCTCATCCGCTCCCTCCGCATGTGAGCTCATCCGCTCCCTCCGCATGTGAGCTCATCCGCTCCCTCCGCATGTGAGCTCATCCGCTCCCTCCGCATGTGAGCTCATCCGCTCCTCCGCATGTGAGCTCATCCGCTCCCTCCGCATGTGGCTCATCCGCTCCCTCCGCATGTGAGCTCATCCGCTCCCTCCGCATGTGAGCCTCATCCGCTCCCTCCGCATGTGAGCTCATCCGCTCCCTCCGCATGTGAGCTCATCCGCTCCCTCCGCATGTGAGCTTCATCCGCTCCCTCCGCATGTGAGCTCATCCGCTCCCTCCGCATGTGAGCTCATCCGCTCCCTCCGCATGTGAGCTCATCCGCTCCCTCCGCATGTGAGCTCATCCGCTCCCTCCGCATGTGAGCTCATCCGCTCCCTCCGCATGTGAGCTCATCCGCTCCCTCCGCATGTGAGCTCATCCGCTCCCTCCGCATGTGAGCTCATCCGCTCCCTCCGCATGTGAGCTCATCCGCTCCCTCCGCATGTGAGCTCATCCGCTCCCCTCCGCATGTGAGCTCATCCGCTCCCTCCGCATGTGAGCTCATCCGCTCCCTCCGCATGTGAGCTCATCCGCTCCCTCCGCATGTGAGCTCATCCGCTCCCTCCGCATGTGAGCTCATCCGCTCCCTCCGCATGTGAGCTCATCCGCTCCCTCCGCATGTGAGCTCATCCGCTCCCTCCGCATGTGAGCTCATCCGCTCCCTCCGCATGTGAGCTCATCCGCTCCCTCCGCATGTGAGCTCATCCGCTCCCTCCGCATGTGAGCTCATCCGCTCCCTCCGCATGTGAGCTCATCCGCTCCCTCCGCATGTGAGCTCATCCGCTCCCTCCGCATGTGAGCTCATCCGCTCCCTCCGCATGGTGAGCTCATCCCTGCTCCCTCCGCATGTGAGCTCATCCGCTCCCTCCGCATGTGAGCTCATCCGCTCCCTCCGCATGTGAGCTCATCCGCTCCCTCCGCATGTGAGCTCATCCGCTCCCTCCGCATGTGAGCTCAATCCGCTCTCCTCCGCATGTGAGCTCATCCGCTCCCTCCGCATGTGAGCTCATCCGCTCCCTCCGCATGTGAGCTCATCCGCTCCCTCCGCATGTGAGCTCATCCGCTCCCCTCCGCATGTGAGCTCATCCGCTCCCTCCGCATGTGAGCTCATCCGCTCCCTCCGCATGTGAGCTCATCCGCTCCCTCCGCATGTGAGCTCATCCGCTCCCTCCGCATGTGAGCTCATCCGCTCCCTCCGCATGTGAGCTCATCCGCTCCCTCCGCATGTGAGCTCATCCGCTCCTCTCCGCATGTGAGCTCATCCGCTCCCTCCGCATGTGAGCTCATCCGCTCCCTCCGCATGTGAGCTCATCCGCTCCCTCCGCATGTGAGCTCATCCGCTCCCTCCGCATGTGAGCTCATCCGCTCCCTCCGCATGTGAGCTCATCCGCTCCCTCCGCATGTGAGCTCATCCGCTCCCTCCGCATGTGAGCTCATCCGCTCCCTCCGCATGTGAGCTCATCCGCTCCCTCCGCATGTGAGCTCATCCGCTCCCTCCGCATGTGAGCTCATCCGCTCCCTCCGCATGTGAGCTCATCCGCTCCCCTCCGCATGTGAGCTCATCCGCTCCCTCCGCATGTGAGCTCATCCGCTCCCTCCGCATGTGAGCTCATCCGCCTCCCTCCGCATGTGAGCTCATCCGCTCCCTCCGCATGTGAGCTCATCCGCTCCCTCCGCATGTGAGCTCATCCGCTCCCTCCGCATGTGAGCTCATCCGCTCCCTCCGCATGTGAGCTCATCCGCTCCCTCCGCATGTGAGCTCATCCGCTCCCTCCGCATGTGAGCTCATCCGCTCCCTCCGCATGTGAGCTCATCCGCTCCCTCCGCATGTGAGCTCATCCGCTCCCTCCGCATGTGAGCTCATCCGCTCCCTCCGCATGTGAGCTCATCCGCTCCCTCCGCATGTGAGCTCATCCGCTCCCTCCGCATGTGAGCTCATCCGCTCCCTCCGCATGTGAGCTCATCCGCTCCCTCCGCATGTGAGCTCATCCGCTCCCTCCGCATGTGAGCTCATCCGCTCCCTCCGCATGTGAGCTCATCCGCTCCCTCCGCATGTGAGCTCATCCGCTCCCTCCGCATGTGAGCTCAATCCGCTCCCTCCGCATGTGAGCTCATCCGCTCCCTCCGCATGTGAGCTCATCCGCTCCCTCCGCATGTGAGCTCATCCGCTCCCTCCGCATGTGAGCTCATCCGCTCCCTCCGCATGTGAGCTCATCCGCTCCCTCCGCATGTGAGCTCATCCGCTCCCTCCGCATGTGAGCTCATCCGCTCCCTCCGCATGTGAGCTCATCCGTCCCTCGCATGTGAGCTCATCGCTCCCTCGCATGTGAGCTCAATCCGCTCCCTCCTCCCCGTCACCCCTCCCCGCATGTGAGCTCATCCGCTCCCTCCGCATGTGAGCTCATCCGCTCCCCTCCGCATGTGAGCTCATCCGCTCCCTCCGCCATGTGAGCTCATCCGCTCCCTCCGCATGTGAGCTCATCCGCTCCCTCCGCATGTGAGCTCATCCGCTCCCTCCGCATGTGAGCTCATTCCGCTCCCTCCGCATGTGAGCTCATCCGCTCCCTCCGCATGTGAGCTCATCCGCTCCCTCCGCATGTGAGCTCATCCGCTCCCTCCGCATGTGAGCTCATCCGCTCCCTCCGCATGTGAGCTCATCCGCTCCCTCCGCATGTGAGCTCATCCGCTCCCTCCGCATGTGAGCTCATCCGCTCCCTCCGCATGTGAGCTCATCCGCTCCCTCCGCATGTGAGCTCATCCGCTCCCTCCGCATGTGAGCTCATCCGCTCCCTCCGCATGTGAGCTCATCCGCTCCTCCGCATGTGAGCTCATCCGCTCCTCCGCATGTGAGCTCATCCGCTCCCTCCGCATGTGAGCCTCATCTCTCCCTCCGCATGTGAGCTCATCCGCTCCCTCCGCATGTGAGCTCATCCGCTCCCTCCGCATGTGAGCTCATCCGCTCCCTCCGCATGTGAGCTCATCCGCTCCCTCCGCATGTGAAGCTCATCCGCTCCCTCCGCATGTGAGCTCATCCGCTCCCTCCGCATGTGAGCTCATCCGCTCCCTCCGCATGTGAGCTCATCCGCTCCCTCCGCATGTGAGCTCATCCGCTCCCTCCGCATGTGAGCTCATCCGCTCCCTCCGCATGTGAGCTCATCCGCTCCCTCCGCATGTGAGCTCATCCTGCTCCCTCTCCGCATGGTGAGCTCATCCGCTCCCTCCGCATGTGAGCTCATCCGCTCCCTCCGCATGTGAGCTCATCCGCTCCCTCCGCATGTGAGCTCATCCGCTCCCTCCGCATGTGAGCTCATCCGCTCCCTCCGCATGTGAGCTCATCCGCTCCCTCCGCATGTGAGCTCATCCCCCCAATTAGCTCCCTCCCGCATGTGAGCTCATCCGCTCCCTCCGCATGTGAGCTCATCCGCTCCCTCCGCATGTGAGCTCATCCGCTCCCTCCGCATGTGAGCTCATCCGCTCCCTCCGCATGTGAGCTCATCCGCTCCCTCCGCATGTGAGCTCTCACCCCATGCACTCTGTCCTTCCTCCATGACCTTCCTTGCTCTTCTCGCCGTTCAGTCTTGCCTCCTGCGTGCTTCCCATGTTCGAATGCATTCATCTCTTTGGATGCAGTCACGCCTTCATGTCGCCATGCTGCCATGCTGCCATGCCGCCATGCCACCATGCTCCCATGCTGCCATGCTGCCACATGTCTCACTGCCTCACGTCCTACTTTGGCATTTGGTCTGCCTTGGCATGGCATGGCAGGAAGCTTCCCGACAAGAACCACTCAACGATGGTGAAGGCCTTCGTGTTCTCCGAGTACCACTCACTCACTGCCAGGTGCCACTCACTCACTGCCAGGTGCCACTCACTCACTGCCAGGTGCCACTCACTCACTGCCAGGTGCCACTCACTCACTGCCAGGTGCCACTCACTCACTGCCAGGTGGCACTCACTCGCTGCCAGGTGCCGCTCACTCGCTGCCAGGTGCCGCTCACTCGCTGCCAGGTGGCACTCACTCGCTGCCAGGTGCCACTCACTCGCTGCCAGGTGCCGCTCACTCGCTGCCAGGTGCCACTCACTCGCTGCCAGGTGCCACTCACTCGCTGCCAGGTGCCACTCACTCGCTGCCAGGTGCCACTCACTCGCTGCCAGGTGCCACTCACTCACTGCCAGGTGCCACTCACTCACTGCCAGGTGCCACTCACTCGCTGCCAGGTGCCACTCACTCACTGCCAGGTGCCACTCACCCACTGCCAGGTGCCACTCACTCACTGCCAGGTGCCACTCACTCACTGCCAGGTGCCACTCACTCGCTGCCAGGTGCCACTCACTCGCTGCCAGGTGCCACTCACTCGCTGCCAGGTGCCACTCACTCCCTGCCAGGTGCCACTCACTCGCTGCCTCGTAGACAACAAGCAACTACCAAATGCGACTAGCGAATGAGGGCAGGAAAAGGGAGCTGTGTCACTCTTCGTGGGTGCACTGGTGGCACTTGAGTAGTAGCCACTGGGCTCCTCATCTTTTGTTACTCCATATCCATCCATCCATCCATCCATCCATCCATCCATCCATCCATCCATCCATCCATCCATCCATCCATCCATCCATCCATCCATCCATCCATCCATCCATCCATCCATTTATTTCCATCCCATCCCTAGCCGTCCCGTCCCATCCATCCCATCCCATCGCATCCCATCCCATTTTCCCATCCCGTCCCGTCCCATCCCATCCCATCCCATCCCATCCCATCCCATCCCATCACATCCCATCCCATCCCATCCCATGGCACCACCCTCGTCCGCCCTGCCCCCATGCGCGGCAGCTCGCTCTTCCTCTTCCTCGCCAAGCTCTGGCACGCCCGCCTCATCAACTCGGGAGACATGCTGCGCTGCCTGCACCTTCTGGCCTCCTCTGCCCGATGGTATGCCTGCATGTGCTGCATTGCTCTGCCCGATGGTATATGTTGCAATATGTGTATTGTTATGGTGGGCCACCAATGGGTCTGTACCGTAATTGGCTAACTCAAATTTATTGTTTCTGTGTTACATTGTCGCCCCACTCCGAGCAGCAAGAACGAGATGTGTATGGGGCTGAGAAATAAATGGTGAGCAAGGGTTACTCTCCACTGCAAGCTGGCTCCATTTATGCACACACACACACACACACACACACACACACACACACACACGCACGCACGCACGCACTCACGCACGCACGCACGCACGCACGCACGCACGCACGCACGCACGCACGAACGCACGCACGCACGCACGCACGCACGCACGCACGAAAACACGCACGCACGCACGCGCGCACAGTCGCAGCCCCCCCTCCCGTCCCCTTCCCCCCTCCCCCCACACACACAAACGCCGCCCTCCATCTCTCAACATCCATCTCCCTCCACCCATGCGGCAGCCTGCCGCCTCCAGAGGGCGGGTCACCAGCGGAGGCCATTGCCGAGGCCTACAGGAGGAAGCGCGCAGCTGCCCATGTGTCTGGTGGCGTATCCGGCCGCCCTGCAGGTGGTCGTTTACGTGTGCTGCCTAGCTATAGTAGTGATGGTTACTAGACTATCATCATAGCCTTGCTTTGCTTTGTATCCTTGTTAATAGTTCCTCTGGTGCTACAAACGAATTACCAGAGCGTTTTGATTACTATAAGCACCCGTGTAGTGGACCAGATGGACAAGAAAATTACCGCAATGTTTAGATGAGCGCCCACGGGACTGGTATAGGGAGGCATTTGGGGAAGATTGGGATGCGTGGTAGCGTGTGCTTGTACCGTATAGTGCCGCCTATAGGACCTGCCGGTAAGAGGGTCCCCTGGGACTCTTGAATGGGTAGGGGGACTCTTATTGTGGCAGGTTTTGTGAGGATCCCCCCTTTGCCCCTAGTCATTATAAGTCCCCCATTTTCTGTATACAGTAGTTGTTATTGGTGTTGCGCATCAGCTTTTACTGACACAGATTCGAATTTTGACACGCTTTTGGTGTCAGACTCGATTTCGGACACTTTATTTGTGTCAGACTCGAATTCTGACACAGATTTGACGCGCCGCTCGCGCGAAATTTGCACACGAGGGGTGTTTTCGTTACGAATATAAGACCCCCCCCCCCTCCCCTCCCCCCTCCCCCCCCCCCCCCCCCCACCCCACTCCCCCCCCCCCCCCCCCCCCCCCCCTCCCCCCTGCCCCAAATTTGAGCTGTACACCTTAAATAACAGATTGATAGTTGCTGAATAAGTGTACCCCGGGTCTTAAAAAATTACTGCCGCCTTAATGTCCACCCTAGCGATTTTTTTTGCAGTTGTAGAGGGTCCCCCAGGTCCTATAGGCGGCATTATACGTACCAAATTAGACCTACGTAAAGATAGTGGATTGGTTGGGGGGAACGCAAAGGACGAGCTGTTGGTTGAAATCACAGTCGAAAAGAGCGCATTGCTTGAAAGGGGGTGGGGAGAGAGAAGGGGAGACAGAATAAGAACGGAGAGGGTGATGGGAGAGTCTGGTGCACTTGATGGCTTGGGGGAAGGGTGAGGCCGAGCAGCTGGTTGAAATCACAGTTGAACTGAGTGCCCTGCCTACAATGTCAACGGGGGTTGTGGTAGGCCCCGTCCTCGCTTGGGGCGGAGCGGACTTCGTGGTCGGGTGAGCGGGAGGTGCAGCCGACTTGCAACAGTAGGCGACGCCGTCTTGGTCGAGCTGGTCGACGAGCTAGGTCGACCTGCACGGGGGCCACTGCTAAGCTGGCGACGAGGGGAGCCGGCAGCCGACTTCAACCTGGTGGTCGACGAGGGGAGACGTCGACTTGGGTTGGGCGCCGACTTTGGTGGGCGCCGAGTTCGGGTGGTCGACCTGGCGAGGTCGACCTCGGAGGCGTCGACTTGGTGACGCCGACCTGGGGAGTGGCTGACTTGGTGAAGTCGGCTGGTGGTCGTCGACTTGGGCAGTCGACGAGCACGTACAAACGTTTTGGTCGACTTTCCCCGAGGAAGTCGACGCCGACCTGGTGGTATCCGGGTCGACCAGGTTACCCGGGTGACGAGGTTCTGCGGAGGCACGCGACGGTCGCCTAGATGGTTCTGGCAAGGCCGACCTCGGTGGTGGTATCCCGAGGTCGACGCGGCTGATCAAGTGCAATCGTCAGCACGAGGACGATTTGGTGTGTGCGCTGTGCAGGTGACAAGACACGGCACGCCAATCATCTGCGAGCACCTGCGAAGCTGGTGCTCTGCTGTCCTGCGGGTGCAACTCTGTGCAGCCGCCTTGCTGCAGCGTTGGCACGCCGTCGACTTGCAACGTTGGCAGGCCGCGAATGTGCACTGCTGGAGCGCAGTTGACCGTGCTGCGCTGGCAGACGTCCTGCTTGCATGCTAGCTCTGATGTAGTCAGCCTTGCCAACTTCATTGTAACCATTGTTGTCAACTTTCCTTAGTGAAAGTCTTGCCAAAACTCCCTGTGAATGCGCAAGTAGTAAGAGCACATGTAAACGACTAAGGAACGAACGCAGAGATAAACCTCACACTCGTGCCTAGCCCGTAGACTAGCTCCCATTGCTAGAGTTATCTTCGCATACAAGGGGTATAGGGGATCATAGAGGAGCCAGGGAAATGAGGAAAAGGAAAGGGTAAAAAAAGGAGGAAGGCTGAGCTGAGGGCAAGCTGTTGGTTGAAATCAGTCGTACAGAGTGCCCTAGCTGCAAGGGAATACTCGATAGGTGGGTAAGAGGGAGGAGAGAAGAGGGGAGAATCGATTGCAGATGATGGTTTGAGGGGAAGGCCAAGGGCGAAGGTTTAGAGGTGAATGCAGAGAGTGCCTTGCATACGATGAGTAGGTAGAGAAAGGGAAATATGATGATAGGATAAAGAGGAGTTTGATACAGTTGACACACATCACCAAGGGCGAGGTGCTGGCTGAAATTTCAATAGAAGAGAGTGGCTTTCCTGTAAGGGGATAGGAAGGAAGAGGAGTGATGAGAAGAGATGAAGCAGAGGTGAACGGAGAGCTGGATGCAGTGATAGCTTGGGTGGGAGAGGAAGGGAGAGGAGAGAAGAGATGGAGCGGAGGGGAAGGCTGAGGGCGAGGTTTGATAGAGCGCCCTATCCTGTTGGATATCCACGGTAGGGTTTATGGGAACAAAGGGTGAGAAAATGCTTGAGGACGGGATTGGGAGTTTGACGCATTACACCTTGCTTGGCAAGGTGGTGATCCTGCCAAGGGCGCGATGAAGTCTAGGAGATGGTGATACCTGTTTGGTAACTAGGCAACATGGAAAAACACTGGGAGTTAGGGTGTATAACATCAACCTATGCCTATCAGGTTGCGGTTCCTGCCGGATGGGGTGATGAGAGGGTACAAGGAAACCGGAGGATGTGCATGCAGGCGACATAAATTTGCAGGACAGTATGCGAGGACGGTGCACTGGTTGACAATCCTTCCACAGCTAATGGCTGACAGGGTAACAATGGATTGGCCTCTGTCAACACCTTCGCTCGTGCCTTGTCGACAGCACTCATCGGCAGCATGGTATTAGGGCCAATCACCAGTGCGGACCCCTCGAGATGACTACCACGTGCTCCACAACGCAGGCCGAGCTGTGCAAACAATGTGTACATCTCAGCCCGAAGCGGCATGAACTCGTCATAGATAGCAGACTGTACCTGCTCCACCCTTGCACCTAGGGTTTTCATGACGGGGGGGCCTGGTGGGAAGAATCCCCCATCTGGCCAAGGAAATCAAAGTCATCCACGGCAGTACCGTGCCCCTTCACACTTTCATGTTGGCGGGAAAAGGTCAAGGATTGGCCAATGCACCTGGCTGATACCCAAGGGAAGGTCGGGCCAGGGGGGAGACTGCCCTACCCTGGACAGGCGACGCGTGGAGAGGTCGATAGGGGAATGAGGGTGAGGGGAGAGGTGCGGAGATAACTTTAGCAACGGGAGCTAGGTTGCGGGCTAGGCACGGGTGCTCGTGTGATCTCTGCGTTCGTTCGTTCCTTAGTCGTTTCCTTGTGCGCACACACTTGCTAGTTCACGGGGAAAGTTGGCAAGAGTTTCACTAGGAAAGGTTCAGAACAATGGGTAGCAACAACATTGGCAACACTGACTACATCAGAGCTAGCTAGGCTGCTGGTCGACCTCCAGCGCAGCACGGTCGACCGCGCTCCAGCGCAGCAGCGCTCGCACCGCTCCAGCATTGCAGAGTAGCGGTTCGCCAACGTTGCAAGTCCACGGTGTGCCAACGCTGCAGCAAGTCGGCTGCAAAGCGTTGCACCCGCAAGACAACGGTGCACCTGCTTCGCAGGTGCGCGCAGCTGGTTGGTGCACTCGTCCTTGTCACGTGCACAGCGCAGACGCCTGGCAGACTCCACGCCAGCAACTGCGCCCACCAGCCACGTCGACCTCGGGATACCACCCCCGAGGTCGGCCTCGCAGACTCCACCCTGGCGACACTCGTGCACGTCGCCCGGGTATCCCGGTCGACCGGGCAACCGCGCCTGGTCGACCAGCTCAGTCCGTAGCCGGCCACACACATGTCCGGCGTCCAGACGCCCAGGACGCCGTCCGAACTCCCAGGTCGGCGTCCAGACGTCCTGGACGCCGTGCAGACGTCCAGGGCGGCGTCCAGCCTCCCAGGACGCCAACCAGACGTCCAGGTCGGCGTCCGGGCCCACAGGACGCCGTGCAGACGCCCAGGTCGGCGTCCAACCTCCTGGGACGCCGTGCAGACGCCTAGGTCGGCGTCCAGCCTCCCCGGACGCCGTCTAGGCGCCCAGGACGGCGTCCTCCTGCTCGGCGCCCTCCAGCCAGGCGCCCTCCAGTTCGGCGCCCTTGCAGTGGCCCCCGTGCCCACTGCTGTTGGTCGGCTGCATCCCCCGCACGCTCGACCACAAGGTCGGCTCCGCCCAAGCGAGGACGGGGCCAC